TGGGTAGATACTAAGCCTGAAGCTTGCGCATAGTTTCGGAACAGACTTGCGATTAGAAGGCGTGACAAGGTAGTCAGCTTCCAACGAAAGCTTGTTGCCAATCAAGCTCATGTAAAGAGTCCTGACATTCTCGCAAGCATGCCGCCCAGGCGCGACATAGATACCTTCGAGTCGCCGCGCAATTCACGGATCAGGCACGCTAGGACATGAGACAGCTTTGTGTGGTCACAGTTTTGGGGGACATTGGTCGTGTTGTGCTGGTGCAGTTCCGGCCACAGCTGACAATGCGGTTTTTACAGCATTATGAAGCATGAGCCAGCTCATTCCGTAGCGTCGCTATTCTCCACCATGCCACGCGTGTGGGCGCAGGTGGAAGTGGTTACAGCTTGGGCAGACGGAAATCGAGCTTTGAGGTGCCCGCACGTTTCGGAGCTGAAAAGCTAAGTCCACCTGTTTTGCGTCTTCGCATTCAGAAACCACAACCCCTCGGTTCAAGAAACACCCAGTGGCCAGTGCAGGGCCTGGGTTGTGTTTTTTTTCAAGGCTTGTGCTTCCAGTCTGGCACGGTGTGGAACGCTGCGTGTGGACCGCTCGGCCCGACCTCTCGGAGTCCTGCCCTGTGAACACGACCCATGGCTCCCTGTCCTTGTGTCACTTCTGTCGTTCCGAGCGGCGGACTTGAGAAGTGTCAGGCTAAGGCGGAGGGGAATTGTATCGTGCTGCTCGGTCGGAAAATGTGCCCTTCCCAAGCATATTTACGTTGCTTCTGCTGCCGAAGCCAGACGCCGGCACTGCCCCTCAATTCTTTCGTTTTTTGTGTCTGTGTAGGCTTTAGTGCTGAGGGTTCATTTTAAGGGCGATGCACGCGTAGCACCAACGCTTCTCTCAAGCCTTAAAATCTTGAGGAGATGGAGGATTTCCAATATGCATATACCGACGAGAGGATTCTGGAACGAACTCAGGTCTTCTTAACATCTGGGGGAATTGATGACTTCCTGTTCTTAGGTCTTCGGCTATACAGGAGGCAGGTTTTGCCGGCTGAAGCGAAAGAAAGCACAAGTTTTCTTACAATGTGCAATAACAGGAAAGGAAATGGAAGCAATCGTTCGAACCAAGAGGAAACGAAAGACGACACGAGTTCTTCTTAACATGCAAAGGAAAATTTTTCTGTATTCGTGTGCTGCAAGGAAGCTGCGAGGCTTGCCCTTTAAGAATAGAAAATAGAAAACGCGGTGCATCCTGCGGAGGGGCAGCAGAGGACATCCTCGTACAATGTGCAGACAATGGGAGCTTTCCTCGCGTTTGAGGAGGGGAAGGGAGGTGGAGGGGAGGGAGGTCGGGGAAGGAGGAGGTGGGGGACCGTTGGGGGGTTGATTTGAAGATAGAATATATTAGTGCGTTGCAGCGAAGCACCAATCTCCATGAAGCCCTGTTTCGGAAGCAAACTCTGCCAGGCTTCACGACTGCTGGCAAAGCTGCAACGGAATTGCGGCGCCTGATTGCCGACAACTCCGTATGGAATTTCTCTGTCTTCTGAAGATTGTCAGGGAAACGTTGTGGCCTCTTTGCTGTGAAATCACATGCGAGGCCATGACGCATAGTTTCCCAAGCTCTTGCAAAGTGTATTCGATTCTATCCAGCAAGCAGAGAGCAGACAACCTCATATCACAACTTGGGAAGCGCATGTACATCAATAAATTGATGAATGCATGGTATGGATGGGGCCGCCTGGAAGATACGAGGGCACCTCCGTGCAGCAAGTGCTGCAAGCGTTTGCAGGTAGAAGAGAGAGAGGTTTGCAAAGCAAGCCGCTGGATGCCATGAGTTCTCGTGGCCCAGCAGTTCGACTCTTCTTCAGGCATCGACGCACAGCGCCCCCAGGTTGATGGAAAGAGCATGTAGTAACTTAGTACTCCTGTGGAAAAAAAACTGACGATCTGCTACGATCGACGATAAATGCAGACATTTTCACCATGTTGACTACAGCACCTCCAAGAATACTGTTTCTTCCGGACGTGCCAGAGGTAGGAGCCGGAGTTTCACGTGAATTTTCAATGTAAATGTGCTAGGCCACAGGCCTTGTGAAAGGAGAGTTGCAATCAAACCAAAGAGATTGGGATGCTGGCGTGCAGATCTCGCGCACATACCGTAGGCGTAGATGATTGTAGATGTACTCGTAGCCATTGTCAAGACAGCATCTAGAACTGACTGTGGTGATTGCACAAACGGCTGGTGCACTCACCGCTCAAGTCAAACAATTGTATATATATATACACACATATATATATATATCTTCAGTTATTTATTGTTGCATTTATTTATTTAAGGGGCTGCGCCCATGGGCGGGCAGCGCAGGCAGAAGCTCTAGCAGATGCTGCTTTTATTATGCTTTTGCAGGCTGCTGCCACTGCCGCTGCAAACGGGGCGCGCGCGCGCGCGACGTCGCACGACCGGGTCAGCTGTAGGCTTTTGATAGCCGGAACGCACGGGTTTGGCGCTGGGGGGTCGAGAATGTCAAAGCCATGACCTTTCAACCATATAGAGGCCTTGAGCTCAAAAACCTCGAAACCTGAATGCCTCAAAACCCAAGCCTCAACAAGTAAAATGGCAAAACATGCCTGAAAACCCGGGCTGCAACCACCGCCGCCGCGGGATTCCCAGCCGCCCAGAGGGAAGGGCTATCCGCCAATGGGCCCATCATGGCGACCAAGGCTGGTTACGCAAAAAACCCGAAAATGGGTGGGGTCTGCGGCACTGCCGTCTGGCCTTGTTGTGCTGCGCACAAGGCTGGGCTGACTGGCACGGGATAAACCCCCTGTTATACAGGCCGCAGGGCCCGATTTAATGGCTACCGTCAGTGCCGCCGTCTCCCCAAATGCCCCGCGGAGGAACATTCAGAGTGGAGCGGTGCGAGCAGCGTAAGGAGCAAGGGCGGGAGTGGGCGGTGGGGGCGGTGGGGTCGGGCGGAGGGAAAACAGAGACGGGTGGAGCAGGGTGGGGGTGGGAGGTGAGAAGATGCATTGGCGGCCTTGCAGCTGCGTGGCTGGATAGAGGACGCAGAGGGGTTGGGGGCGTGAAGGGGGCGTGCAGGGAACCTGATCTCGGACGCAGCAAAGGGGGGGGAGGTTTGGGTGTTGGGGATGTGTAAGTGCAGGGGGGTTTGGGCGTGCATTGGAGATCTTAACTTCACTTTCAGGCAGGTAGAGATAGGAAGTAGCAAACTTCGCTTTTCAGGAAGGCAAGGGTAGGGAGTATAGGGCGATGACCGAGAATGGGTCTTCACTGATGCCGCCCCCGCTCCAGCGGGGGTCGGCAGATGTATATATATATATACATATATATATGTTTTGATAGAGACTATATATGGCCAGCTGCAAGGAGATATCTGCCATGTGAGGCACCGGTGTTTGCTTCTTTGTTGCTCTTTCTTTGTACTTGTTGTTAATTCCCAAATGCCTTGACACCAGTCCGTGCACGTTTTCTCGTTTGGTTCCATGGTCCGCGCTTGTTTCTTTGATGGCTAGTGGCTGACGCGATGGATAAGAGCATACAGGGCTCCAGCGCAGCCCCAAACCCACCGCCCTCACTGCCCTCACCCACCTGACCGGGCTCCAGCGCACCCCCCCCTCCTCCCCCTACTCGACCCTAGATTTCACCTGTCCCCTCCCCGCTCCCCCACCCCCCACCGAGAGGCGCTACGTATGGGGGTCATGGGGTTGATTTTCTCAAAATTAAGTGGGGGGGGGGTGGGGCGATGGGTTTTTTCGCGTTCTGTGGCCTTGCCGAGAGGCAAGACCCTCCACGGCATCGGTTTGCAGCTCCTCCAAGTGATGAGGGGGGGTCCCACAGAGCGGGGGGGGTGGGGTCCGTCACAAAATTTTGCATGGGGGGGAAGGAGGCCCGATCCGGGTCTGCTTGTTCCAGAGGCTTCTCGGCAGGAGGCCGAGGCGAATTCTTGCGCACCCATACGTGACAGTGCTAAGCTGTTGTTCTGTGCCAAGTGTTTTGGGAATGAGGGCCAAGGAAGGGGCTCTCCTGTAGTGCAGTTGGTGGCCGCGCGCGGCCTCCAGGGAGCCTGCACAATACTCTGAAGCCATCAAACCCAAGCCGCGCAGCTCGGGCGTGTGTGATATCGCTGAGCTCTCGACTGCGCCCGCCTACCCAACAGTGGTGAGATGGGCAGCGCGGTTTAGGGTTTAGGGCATGGATCTTCTCCCCTACGTGACGGCTTACTTATACCTTTTCAAGGTCTATATAGAGGGCTTTGTTTGCGTGGTTTAGGTAGGCTTGTCTTCGAGGACGACCTTAAGCCCAAAATCTATCGCGGTTTTCAGTTGTAAGGGCATGAGCTTTATGCACGGACAGGAAAAACTCGGCACAGCACAACTGGGGGGCGGGAAGGGCATAGCAGAAAAACGGTGCAACAAAAGAAACACAAAGGTAAACCGCATAAACAAAAGGCGGAGCATAGGAAAAACCGCTCTTTCTCTCAAGCTAAAGTAAATAATCCAAACGAGTGCAGATGATTTTGTTGCACCGCGACGTCGTATACGATGGTCTGCAAATAGTCGTGTGTTGACGTTTCGGGCTGCTCGGCGAGGAGGCCGAGGAATCCTCTAAGGTGGGAAGGAGACGTGTGCGTTATTAGGGTTGTGGGTTTGGGGTTTGAGGTTTCGCAGATCACCAAGACCCTGCGCAAGCGTCAAAGTTCACGACCCGAGCGCCGCGCATCACGTGTTCTAAGCGTGCTTCTGGGTTTCCCTTGACTAGGCCCGAGCACGAGCATGATACACCCAAGATGCGTCTTGCATCTTCACCGGAAACAGGATCGGGAGCTGCTCAACCATGTTCTGCATATAGACTCAACCGGAAATCCTTCTACTGTTGTGATTTGACATGACTTGACGTTCAGAGATGCCGCGCAATGTTGCCATGCATGTACAGATCGCGCCGTCGATCTCGTATATGCATTGTCGTCACGCGTAACGTCCCTCCTTGGCATGAGTGTCATCGATGACAAGCTGTGGGCAAATATCCTGCAAGCATTCGAGCAGGAGGCTGGAGAGCCCCCATCTACTCAGCCAGAGGGTTGGGAGCTGTGTCTTTTGGCACGTGTAGCTGGAGAATGCCTGGGGGACGCCAAGAGAGCTGCCAAAAGGATGGAGCGGTTGCTGCTGGCGGAAGGGCCGAATCTCGATGGCTGCCGCGAAGTGTTGAACAGAGAACGGATCAACCTATCACAGCTCGTTACAAGGGCAAAGGAGCTTGTCAGCCGGAGCTTGACATCTCGGTCGCGATCACCTCGACGAAGGCGTGAGTGGCTGCGGCAGGCACAAGCAGCTCTGGACAGCGCAGGCGGTGCCTGGAAGAATCGTGCCTGTGGAGTCGACGTTGCGGCCGAGATACTCTCTGCTGGGCGGTCTCTTTCTCAGGACCAAGCTATGTTTGGCTGTGTGGTGGGATAGGTCTATGAAATCATGAATTGTGGCCCGCTGTACTTCCAGAGGATGACGAGCTTCCGCATGAGCCGCGCGAAGAACTTTCTGCTCCAGTACGGGCCTCACTATTCTGCTTTGATAAATGTGCAAGTGATGCAGCGTGCTTCGGCACTCTCAGGGAACAAATAAAGGAGAGGCCAGGGCTCGTCCCCAATTCATGTCTGGCTGATTGGGATTCTTGTGTGCACAGGACGCATCGAGTCTTTGCGTTGGAAGACCAGCCTTAGAGGTACAGATGTTGCGAATTGGCACCAAAGCTGTTGCACTATCTGTCTTTTGTTCTGATAATGTAGTTTATAAGCGGTGAGGGCTGGGAGCGACCAGAGACCTGGATGGTCTTGATTCTTTCGTCCCAACCCCCTCCACTCTAGTCACTTGAGCTTTCTGATCTGACATTCAAAGACCGCCTCGGCTTTCCATCCTCGACAGGCCACAGCCGCTAGATCCCGCTAGCATATTGATGGCGGACAAAAAAACCCACAACAGACGCCAAGCAGAACATGTGAGTTAAGGCGAGCCTGGGCCCACCAGCCTTTTTTCCAGTGGGAAATGGCGCCGGCCGGTTTGGAGCTTTGCACAGCTCCAAGCCGCAGGTTGAGATCTCATGTGTTCTGTGATGTTGTCGCGACTGAGGGTTCTGTTTCGCTCCATTTTCGGTGATTCTTGACAAAGGACACATGGGTTGACCCCACGAGCACAAATCAGTTCCTGCCTCAGCGTGCTCAGCACAGCATAAACCACAGCCTTCAACATGAACAGAAAATTTTTGCTATCGTCCATTGAGGACTGCTCTTCATTGGAATGTCGGACCCCAGGTGCAACAGCTGGGATTGCCTCAGAACCTGCTGCAATTGTGCAAAGAAAAGGTTTCACAATTGTGCAAAACGCTCTGCGACATGCTTGGCCCAGTTTCGGCAGATTGCAGGCACTTGTTGGCGGCCGTGCGCTCTTTGCAGCTCAGCTTGAACAGCCACTTTCCACTGTCTCCACCCTTTCTGGTCGCTGACCATTCGTATCAAATACGTGTGGAGGGGGTTTCCACTTGACCCCTCTTGTTGGGCATTGGGGCTGGGGGTACAGAACTCGAAGGTGTATGTGAAATTTTGGATTTGTGGCACAGTGCCAGAGCTGTAGAGTCATGTCGTTGTGTCATGTTCATTTCCTGGGTAAACGATGTGCTCGTACTTGTAAGCTCTCCGTGCGCGCCCATGGGGTTTGGTGGCAATCGCATTTCGTGATGCGAAGCTGCTACTGCTGCGCGGAGAGTGCTCGCAGAGTTGGCCTGGTGAACCACCCTGGGAGCTTGCTCCAAGTCAGTGCTCGCGGCTAGATTCGGCGAGATGGATGCGCAACGCAGTGCAGTCTGTAAGCAAGCGGGTCGCGAGAGGAACTGTCGCAAGCAAGCTAGAGTTGGAACAGTCGCAGGCCTCTTTCAGATGCGGGTTTGGTACTTCAAGACCAAATGGCATCTGGGACAGCTACGCCAGTTTAAGCTTCATCACTGGTAAGTTGTGCCTGGCTACTGGGACAGCTTCGCCAGTTTAAGCTTAATCACTGGCTGTAAGTTGTGCCTGACTACTGACATTATTCGCCGCCAACATTGATATATAACGCGAGACAAGCGACACCCCATACTCGCCAGAATACTTCGAGACTATTTTGGGGTCAAAGTGCCACGATGTGCCACGCGGAGAAGAACCCATAGTAGGTGCTTGCGTATCACGGGGCTCATGCCGTGTCGCGTGCTTGTCATGTGACTGTTCGTCTTGCATCTTGCTTCCGTGATCTACGCCACATGCGTCTGCAAGCGACCTGCAGTGAGCGGGGTTCATTCAAGGCATTCGGATGTGTTCAAACATGCTGAGATTACTCAGGTCTTCACCAGCGTGCTGTGTGACGACTGTCGCAGACTGAGCTATTCAGGGCAGTCTTGAACCCAGTGCCCTGAAGATTGCCCTCAACATGAGAGGTTCTCAATGATCTCAATGTTGGCTCCTCAATCATCCGGTCAATCACCTGGCCAAGATAGCAGATGTGCAGAGCATGTGCGCAGACATGGTCATGTCATGGCCCTTCTGGTGTACCATGTGCAGCATATCGGGGTCGATGATGCAGGAAGTCAATGAGCAAGTGCATATGTGCGTGTGCGCAGCGTGGGCACGCTGCGCGGGCAGTTTAGGGTTTACTTGGGGCAGTACAGTTTGTGGGTTTAGGGCCGGGCTCGGTCGCGATCGGCAGGCCGGTCAGCCCAAGAACCGAATCCACAACGCAAACTTAGCATCAGCAAGGTAGAAGCAGTTCTAAAGCAGGTGTGAACGACATCGATTGCGCCGCAGTAGTTGCGACGCAATCGGCGAATTCGATATTTTCCCATGAGGGTTTCCCATATGCGAGGATGTCGCACCGGCGCTTTCTGTCGAAACCAAACGACCCCGAAGGGTCTCGAAGCACGCCACCGAACCGCTTCAAAAGGCCTCTGAAAGACATGTTGTGTTGCGTGGAATATGTACGAGGGGGGTGTGTGGTGAGTATGTTGGCGGCAGGGCAGGGGCGGCGGCAGCGGCGGCAGCGGCAGCGGCAGCAGCAGCAGCAGCAGCAGCAGCAGCAGCAGCAGCAGCAGCAGCAGCAGCAGCAGCAGCAGCAGCAGCAGCTGCAGCTGCTCAACAGACGCATGGGGATGGGGTGCGGGTTGGCGCATGGGCGGAAGCACGGCAAGCACGAAGAACAAGAACACCACCCAAACGATGATGTGGGGAATGTTGTGGGACAGCCACGGACACTTTGAGGAGCCACCGCAATTCTGGGGGGGTTCTCATTGGGTGCAGGGAACATCCCGGGCGTGAGCTGGGGCCGGCCACTTCGAAGACGTACAACAGAACATTTCGGGGCGGTAGGTTAGTTGTGTTTCTTGTTTTCGGCTCTGCGCCCTCGGTGTGGGGTTAACGGGTTGTTAGGCTTCAAGATCTTTTAAGCCAGCCATTCTTCCCGGCTCCTCGCCGCTGTCCCGCCCGGTCTCCTGCCTGGCGCTTGGAGTGCCCACACTCCCTCAGAATTCCACGGAAAGTTCCGCGATAGAAGCCTGCTAATTGCCTGTCCGAGAACGGCATCCTTAGTTACAGGGTGGGCATGGTCGAAGTGGGTCATTGTAGTTTTTTGTTTTGCTTGCAACTTTTTCTTTCTCCATGCCTCAATGGCTGCAGGTAGGTCTTTGACGCAAAGCTAAGAGTTGCAAGTGAGCAAAACTTATCATCACGTCGATAATCCCAACCCTACCGCTAATTGATGTGGGTGCAATTTTGCCGTTTTTGGACAGGTAGCCTTTGCTGCAGGCTTCCGTGGCGGGACTCCCTGTGGAGTCGGCGGGATCTTCTTTTGGGGTGTGCGCTCCAAGGTACTCGGTGGGACCCTCTGCAAGATTTTCTGGGGGTGGGCAACCAACGATACTCGGCAAAATTATTTCCACGCTTGTTTTCTGGGTGTGTGAGCATTCCAGGAATATTCGGCGGGAATCTCTGCGGAAGTTGTATGGGGATGCTCGGGGATACTCGCTGGGACTCTCTGTGGGCTTCTCTGGGATACTCGGGGCTCTCTGCGGCGTTTGGCGGTGGGCACCCCGGGGATACCCGGTGGCACTAGGAACAAAGGCTTTTCTGGGGGTAGGCACTCCGGGGACACCTGGCTCTCCGCGAGGGCACTTCAGGATAGACACTTTGCGGGCTTCCAGGATATGCTCGGAGGGACTCTCTGCAGGGGCTTCTCCATACACCAGGGACCAGGCCAAGAGACCGGGCGGGAGGCGAGGAGAATGATTGCTTGAGTTCTAACAAGCCTACACAGAGGGGGGCGCGGCGAGGAGATTCTGAGCTAGAAACTCGCGCAACTTTCTTGCAGGCTGAGACCACAGCTCGCAACGCCCTCATCCTTCGCCTTCTCAGCGGGACCTCTGTGGAGCTTGAGCGGCTGCAGTGGTTGAAGTTCACTTGGGCACTTGCTGTGATGCTGTGGAAGCCTTTACCAGCAAGTACACGACACGACGAGGGTAAAGAGCAATTGTCAAGCTTAGTGCCAGGCTTTGAACCATGTTGTATCTGCCCTTCTAGCGCACTTGCAGATCTCGTTTTTTGTCAAAAAGGAGTGGGCAGCTTCATCAAAGGCTGCGCTTGGCCGAGTTTTTGACTTGCCACAATGAGTTCTAGATCCTACGTGTTCTTTTGGCAGTGATGGCAGTACTTGGCGATTGAATATACATCTGAAAGGGATTCAGCTTGGAAACACACAGGTTAGCGATTTTCACACTCTGGTGGCTGCATGCTGGGGCCCTGGTCTCCTTGAAGAACTTTGACGGATGACGGAAGTACAGCTTTGAAGGAAAGCGCTTCGATGGATGACTGAAGTACAGCACCACATGAATCCACATGTGAAGCTTGCTGTGCTCTTCGAGACACCGAGCCTTTTCAATCTGTCACACAACCCAGGAGTTGCCAGTTGTCCTGCTGCCGATGCTCGCTTCGGCGGCCAGGGAGGTCTTGGATGAAGGATGGGCTACCAGTTGCCGTGCAAGGCTGTGGTGGTGCAAAGGCCTTCTTGTTCATGATGTTTGTGCGTCAGGAAACTGCTGTGAAGCGACTGCCGCTGCGCCTCGGTTGCCGCATTGCCTCTGCTATATTCACGCTGCGCGAATTTCGCTGGATAGTTTGAGTTGCCAGCGATGCAGCCTTGCGTTGAGGAAAGGCACCAGCTAAAACTTGAGGTCGACCTTGCAAGCACGGTGCAATGTGTAGCACACACACACACATCTGACGCACAGCACAGGTGCTCAAGCATTGGTGGGAGGCTTGGACTGCTCAAGGCGATGCAGAAGCGCACGACAGCGCAGGAACCGTATCATGTCCACGTTCTTTGAATATTCTTTTGGAAGGCATTGTGCATTTGGGAGCTTGGTCTTGTTGAACCTCTGCATTGCCCCTGCTAGCTGCCTTTACAACAAAACCTTGCATCTGGTGCCCACGGCAGGCGCAGCTGATGACGCTGACAGTGGGGGTCTACAGCAAGTTTGTGCAACTAGTTCTTCTGAGCTACTGGAGGCGCCCAGTCTTACCAATCTCGCTTTGACTTGCTTCTCATGTTCTTTGCATTTGCCGGGACAGCTTTCCTTTTTCATGCCTTCCTTCCGGGCTTTCGTCCGGCCTTCCACCGCTTGGAGGTTCTTCGGGCTGTTCCTGACTGCGAGCACCAGGTGCGCGAGGCTGGGACAAATGACGGAGACGTCAGCGGCAAAGCGAGGATGAGACCGACAATCTTTCACAGCGCGCTTCTGTCTCTCATTTTGAGTGATTTTGAGTAGCTTCTGAGTGATTTCTGAGTGATGGTCCCTCTCAGCCTGAGGCCTTCGAGGCCGAGGGCTTCCGACTCGACCGAGGCCAGGCACGGGGGTCGTTGTAGCAAGCAGGCTCAGCTTGTGCCATGCTGCCCCCGAGGCACCAAAAGCACAAGCAAGTATTTATAGAAGATCGAAAAACATAGGCTAGCCAGAGCCGGCTGGGGCGTTTTAGCGGTAGAACTGAAAAGGTGTAAGTGGCGAAACAAATTCGGTGGGCACGTTCATGTTATTTATTTTGTTCACCAACAGATCAAATGAACGCCAACAGATCAAATGAACGCATTCAATAACTTGTCTTGACTGTTAGAGCTTGGAACATTGTTCAGGGCCCAAAGAGTATGCATACTTGTAGGGTCTGTTGGGGGTACGGGCGACGGTGCTCCAGGTATTCCTTGTGTCGACAACTTCTCGCCGTCATCTCAGCTTGCATGATACGGCGAAGTCGCATGAATCCATGTCATTACCCGTATTGCCATCAGTAGGCTTCGGCATCCAGCTGCACGCCTCTGGTACAACATGCCAGGGCCATAGCGGCGTAGTCAGAACTTGAGACAGCAGGCTGTCACTGCCTTCATCAGCCGGGTCCTTCAGCATTGCATTCCAGCTTACAACCCTGACAGAAGGCACGTGAGCAGAATACGAGGTACCGTGGGAAGAAGCCTCCGCGTGGATGGCAGGAGATACCCGGAATTGCATTAGTCTGCCACCAGCAAGACATGCCTCAAGTCACAACAGCCAGGAACACAGCTACTGAGCTCCGAAAGTGCAAAGATTCCAAAATTCCAAAGTAGCTTGACATGAACAGGGTGAGCTTTCGGCAGAAATGAAGGGCGCGGAGGTGAGAAGACCGCCGAGCTTTTTTGAAGCTTTTCGTAGGAGGCTGGCGATGGTGTTCTGCTATGGCCTGCGACTCAGCACCGTGTGGTGCTAGCCTTCGAAGCGCTTGCCCAATGAGCCGGTTGAACGACATGAGTTTCGACTCAGCAAATGGCTTCCCTCTGCAAAATGATGTAGGGAAAAAACAAGATAAACAAGAATCATTGCGATTGAAACTTGTTCCGACCGTGCCTCCTAAATCCTCCTAAGTCAAGACCCAAGTCGTGTCACGGACCCTACAGGCCGGAGTTTGAAGCTGATGAATTTGATCCTGCGTTGGCCTTGGATACCACGCCTTGGTGCTCAGGTGCAAACTTTTGCAGAATGACAGAGTCGTGTGAATAGTCGTGAAAATCCGATGATTTTTGTTGAGTGCGTTTGGCATTGCGACTTGGGTGTCGCACCCTTCGCCATGCTATGAGGACCAGGGTCAGCCAAGTCGTGTCGAATATCTCAGCGCGTGCGGAAGGATGCTGTTTGCCACTCAGTCTGCCGATCCCATGCCTCATGACCTGTTCCAGGCATGCCCTACAAGTACATAGCGAGAGTGTTCTTGTGAAGAGCAGGGAACATGGTACAAGCATGTACAAGCTCTCTTCAACACAGGCCGCGGTTTCTCGCCTTGCTGACAGAACTGTCGCAGAACTGGCGCTGCCCTCTTTGCAGGGGGATATTCCTCTCCTGACCGCACTTGAACTCGAGCCTGTCGATAGGTTCCAACAGCAGAAGGTCGAGTGGTCTTGTGTAGCGGGTGATTGCCTTGTCTTGGCCTCAGCCTGTAAGCTTCCACATGTTTCAAAGGTTTCAATTGGAAGGGAAGAGGCTTAAGAGGCTGCCCCAATTTGCCGTGCCCCGAAGGCTCTGGCAAAGAAGCTCACTGGGAGCAGCCCAGCAGCACATCAGAGCACATCAGAGTCCATGTCTCCATGTCTCCATGTCTCCAAGTCTCCATGTCTCCACATTTCTCAGCAGCGCCACGTGCTTTGGCCCTTTGAAAGGGGTTTTTGTGATGGCAACTGTGTGAATAGCCCCACTGGTTCATGATGGTTCATGTGAGGAAGGACAGGGAGATATGCTTACGACAGGTGCAAGGTACTTGGCACGTTATTTGCCAAGGACAGTTTGACCGAATCTTCAGCTCGAACGTGGCAGACCATGTAGGTGCAGCCCAGCTGAATTTGAGGGTTGGGGATTCCTCGGGATGTGAAAGGACTGCTACGTTTACCGTTATATCTTAGATTTACTTGGGGTGCGTTGAGAGAGGATTGAAAAAGATGTCGGTTTCGGATTGCAGCCCCCGGCAGTTTGCATGACGTTAAATAAAACCACGCGTGCCCGGCGGGCTGGGAGGGGGGGTGGGGGCAGTCTCGTCTGCGCGGAAACAGCACGATCCTTCGCCCGTGAACATGTGAGTTCCTTTTCAAACCCATCGTGCGACCATTGTGTTTGCAAATGGCGGGGGAGTGAGAGCATTGTGTTTGCAAATAGTTTGCGAGACTTCTCTCTTGTCTACGCTGGGTTGATACACAAGAAGAAGGATCATTTTCAAGGTGCGAACGCGTGCCTGCCCGAAGACGGTGTCATTCTGGAACGCGCGAACGCAAAAGTGATACCCGGAAGAAGGTGTCACGAACTCCCTGGCTGGTAGTTTTGATCGAGTTTCTTGCAGTGTATGGTTTCTTTCCTGGTTGGTTGGTCCCGGGCATGACCGCCCGCATGCTGGTGTCTCGCTTCAGAATTTTCTTCTTAAGATTGTGCAAAGGCCTTCCGACCAGTATTCATTCCGTTAAACATGTTAAATCAGCGGCAGTCTTTGGTATGAAAAGCCTTAGTGGCTTCTATGGGTCCATGAGGTGTCAACATATTCACCATCAGATGTTCATTTTTCTCCAAGCTAGCCTTGCTCAAAGCGTATGTCTCCCTGATAGGAAATCGCTTGGCCACAAGTGGACCCCCAAATTCGATGGTTTTGACGGTATCCCACCGTATTAGTTTCCTTATTTTGTCTGGATTCACAAGCAGCCTGAAGCGGCTACTCATTGTTACTTGTCGACAGGTCGCGGCCTCAGACACACAGTGCAGCAAAAAGGAAGAAGGTGTCATTTTAGAACGCACGCGCTTTTTCAACGTCTCAACACCTAGCCGCGGTGCTTCATCCTGTCTTCTGGGCTGTTCAGTCTCTTGTCTCCGTGTGTTCCAAAATTGACGCTTTCCTGTGTTCCAAATTGATGCTTTCCTGTGTTCCAAATTTACGCCTTTTCCCTATGGAAGGCCTTGCACCTGAACCACAGAAGATGGGTTAGCCCTACAACGTGCGCCACGTGCTCACGTTCTCAGGTGCCAGCTTTGGCACTTGCTTTAGCCCCCTTGGGTGGCGAGCACGGGGCTTAGGGGGCTTGTCCTTATCATTTTTGTGTCGGGGAGGCTTCGTGTGAGACCTCTCGTTTCGGCACTTAACAAAGACCCAAGCGGGGAGAGTATTTGCGCTCAAATCCATGTCTTGAGGCTGCTGATTTGCTTGAGCAACAACCTACGGGCTTTGGATTTCAGCGCTCACCTCAGCCTTTGCATCTCGAGACTTCTCGAACCTAGCAGTGTGTGCAGACGCGGAGGCGGCGATGTCAAGTCGCTTTTTCCCAAAATGCATGGGATCACATTGGAGGCCGGGCTGTGCATTTGCCAGCATTGCTAACAGCGAATATCCTGATGTCCCTCGTGTCTTAACTACCCTTGTGTCCGATGGCCTTGCAATGACTTCCGTTGTAGCCTTGTCTTTCTGTTGCAGGCCGGCGCTGCAGCCTTGGGCTTCTCTCTTCACTCTGTTGAACAGGACAAGGCTTCACATGGCTGGCTCGTCGCTCAACATGTTTCAACTTTTGCTTGCCAGGTTTATTTAAAGCCGGGCCAGGTCCAGACCGCCCGTGACTCGGGTGAGCAGCAACTGGCTGTAGATGACATGGTGAGCATTGATGTGCCTTAACGGCTAGCATCGCACAGGTGTGTTTACTGTTGTTGCTTGTTTCAGGCAGCAGCTGAAGCCTTGCGAAACTGGCCTGTTGCATCCTCTGCGTCTGGGACATGGCTGCTTTGCCTTTACTTCTGTGATGATTTGCCTAGGTTGAATGCGCGCGGCGTCTGCAAGGCACTCAGGCGACTAGGGTGTAAAATTCGTCGGCACACCTCGCAGCTGCAGCTTTGTGCAGTCGAGAATGCTTGGAACTGAGGTATCGCTGCCCCGCACCAGATCTCGAGACGCTTCGCCGGCGCATTGCCCACGGTGTCTGCATCTGAGAGAAGCAGTAAAGCACATTGCTCAGTTTCTCCAGATGTTACTCGTAGTTATAATTGTGCCCTGGGTACTGTCGGCCACTGTGACTACAAGGGTTTTGCACATGTCCTTGTGGGGATTACGGCATGGAAGTTGCTCACAACCACGTGTTTTTGCATGCTCTACGTTAGCAGGACTTACAGGAATACGCGTGTTTCCATTGTTTTGCCACATGTATCAGGAATAGCCTGACGGATGACATGGCATGAGGAGGAGCAGGAACAAAACGGCGGCCTGTTTTATTCCTACACACCTCTTCAGTCCTGCTGGCTTAAAATGTGCAAGCACACAGTTTTAAATCAAAACCAGCCATCATGTCCATGTGCGATACGAAAGGACGAAACGAGCCCTACCCGAACCCCCCTCGAAACCATTGCGGCCACAATGGCCACGTTAGCTTAGACTGCGTGCAGCTTGCACGGGCCTTCTGACACGAAGGGGCAGGGACGGAGACCTCTCTTGAGCATCAGCTTAGCTTCTTCCAGATTCTCAGGACTGCCTGGGCATGGCAACCAGGCGATGTGGATTTGTGCGAAGTATCGCCAGAGCTGAGAGCAATGCCGAGAGCGCACTTGTGGGACCAACACGTTGTGGGAGATACGCCCGCCGCTACACTGTCTCGCCAATATCCACGATGTGCATTGCTCGGATAATCGAGCGGGCGGTGCAGCACTCAGTTTTGACCAGCCAGTTCTGTCTGACACAGATCATCATTGTGCCCATGGAGGCGGCACTTTTGCGACCGGAAGTGGCTGTGGAGGCATGTCGAATCGAGTAGAAGTAGCAACAACCCACATCGCAGGCTTTACAAGTGGGACTTCTGGTTTCGCCGTTCATGTTTTGTCCGTTGTCGGATCGCAGTTGCCGACTGCACAGGCATGCAGGCAGCAGAAGGTTTCGGTGGCCGGGCCACTGCGCAATGTGGGGCGGACAGAGCCTTCCCCTCCCCGACCCCTCGGCCGTTCCCTCTTCTGAATCTCCGATTGTCGGACCAGTGGGACCATCCAAGACGTCCAGCGGAGCCGAGAGTTGGCAAAGTTCCACAAAGTCCCACAAGCTCAAGGACTTAGCTTTCGTGACAAAACACGGTTGCGCTTGGGCCTTACGGCCAGGGCATCCGACGACTTCTCGTTACATCTTGAGGCAGCCAGGCAGACACGCAAAGATCTGGGTGGCCATGTTCTGCCCAACGTCTTGGTCCAGTCTGTCAACGCTGACAGCGTTCTTTACCTACCTCCCGACTCCTCATGTTTTTCTCAACACTACAGCTTGCCCCGGAACAATTCAGACCACAAACTTTGAGATTTACAGTTCATTGTGGGCACTTTTTGTTTGTTGTGCTTCTGGTTTTGCATTTCTTGTTTTTGGGCTTTTATCTGGGGGTTGAGCTCACAGGCTTTGAGTGCTGTACATTTCAGCATGTCGAAGCAGGGCTGCAAATAACAAGGAAAGGAAGGAAGGAAGAAAGAGAAGACACAATCAATAAATTTGCTTCCGCCAAGAAGCAACAGTCAGCCGCAACCAAGCAGCCAAGCCAACCGAATCATGCCATAAAACATTTTCTTTTGCTTCGCAGCTAGACCTGTCAATCCAGAAGCACTCGCCAACGTCTATGAGGATTGCGCAGTTGAAGCCCAAACAAAGCCAAGCCAAAGCCAAATCATGTTTTTGAAGGCTGGGTACGTTTGCTTCCTCCGTCCAGAACCAGCAGCTCAAACCTTTGAACCCAGAAGCCAGCAAAGAAAATAAGTACATAAAGAAATTTAAGAACGAAAGAAACGACGCAACTTCCAAAGCCAACAGCCCACACCGATTTAACTACACCATTGTTTTTCAGAATTACGCCTTTGCTTCGCAAGAAAAACCTTTGAATCCAGCAATCTTCGGCACGGTACAGCAGCACAAAGCCAATTTGGCTTAAGCAAGTTCGAGCCCCTTTGCCTCCGTGCAGAACCAACGCCAGCAACTCTTAAGCTAACCGCAACGTGTATTAAGCCACCCCTTTGCTTAACAAGCAAGCTTTAAAGCAAGACCAAGCCAGACCTCATGTTCACGCTTGCCTTCGTCCTAACCAACAACTCGGCCACATGCAAACACGCCAATAATTGTTCAACAGTACCCCCTTGGTTCACAAGCAAGCAATACCTGTGAAACACAAGACACAACGTTTTTCTGCCTTCAAAATTCCGTTTGCTTCACAGGCAAGACTTTCGAATTCAAAAAAAACTCGGCAATGCAAATGCACAGCTTCTCTGTTGTTAAGGTGGGGGCTGCGCCCGCTGCTCTTTTTGCCCTCCCTGTAGCAGAAGCCGAGCCAAGCCAAACGCAAGTCAAATTTGCACCCGAGCACGTTTGACCTGTGAGCAGTTAGAGGATCTGAAGCTTGCAGCGTTCGGAGCGTGTTGATTGAAGGTCTAGATGCTGTATTTGATGCAATATCTTCAGAAAGTAGCTAAAGTCATATGTACGTTTGTGTGCAAGCACTTCAAAACAGTCCAAACAGGCCAAGAGCAAGCTACGCAAACTCACATAGGCCGAAAACTGCCAGACTCTCACACTGCCTGGCCCTAAAGGAACAGGATGGTGAGCGCCTAAACCACTCATCAAGAAACATCATGGCTCCCTCATCCTGAGTGAGATTGCCTTCCGTCGTGCGTGGGGTTGTGAGTAGCAGAACAGGCTGCCCAACTCAGACTCTCATTGTCTGTACTTGTGTCAGACTCTCATTGGACCGACTTCTCCTCTTCAAGCCAGGTGTTTCAAGATGTTCTCGCAGTCGAGGCCTGAGCAAATGCAGCATGCCGTGGAACCTCGTGGAACTATGGAACCTGGGAGCACTGGCAGCACCGATATTCAGCACACTTCTGAGCATCATCTTTGCATCATCTTTGCATCAGCTGCTTTGGCTGACATTGTTGCGGCGTTACGCCTGCCAGGACGTCAAATCATGTCAGATCGAGACCTATGGTTCAGCCACAGTACGTTCCGACAGTTCCGACAAAGTTAGAGAACCATTGCCCTTAGCAACCCCGAATCTCGTTCCATGAAGTGCCCTCCTCATGCGGATGATGCGGCGAAGCCATGTGACCTGGCGGCAAGTAGTTTAGCCCAGCAGATCCAACAATCTGTTGAAGACATCGCGTGTTCTTCATGCGTCAGACCCAATCAGGCCATCTTCCGACACCAGTTTGTCTGGTACTGAACATCTTCAGGTTCGCTCCAGGTTGCCCAGCGCTGCTGTTTGCTTGTGGCTCCTTTTGGTCAGGGTCTGAGATGAGTGAGACTTTGCGATCAATGTTGTGTAGTCGGATGCTTGGCACAACAGTGTTCATCGTGACATTGTGGTCTCGCAGGCATGCCTGAATATGCTGAAGAGAAGACAGCAGGGTTCTAACAGCAAGAAACTTGAAACACATCTCCCATGCCTCGGCCTTGTGACGTCACAGGCATCCCTGGCAAGAAGTTGCAAGATGCTAAGGGCACCTGGAGCCGCTGCGCAGACGACTTCGCATTGCAGCGTCAGCGATCAACACGGAGGTGCAAGATGGTGCAAGTTGAAAGAGCTAGGATGGAGCCAGCCCGAATTCCTTCCTGGGCTTGTGGTTCAACAGAAGATCAAGATCCGAGAATGTTCCGCAACATGCTATTGATGGATGGCAATTGACCCGTCGTTTCTTGGGTGTCACAAGGTTCTGCAGACCCTCCATGCAACCAACATGCTGGGTTGTTGAGTGCCATGTTTAGCCAATCTGCTGGATCGATGCCACTGTGGTGCACTTTGCGTGCAGGCACCCGAAATGGGCTGAGAGAAACGTGCACGCCATGACGCTGGATGTCTTACTGGACATGGACGAGGACCTACACTTGTTGAGCCTGTACTCCGGTCAAGAGGTCGGTGGCCTGAGTTTGATGTGGAACGTTCTGGGGGTCCAGGTGCCATGAGCTGCCTTACCATGCCTTGCCTAAGCTCTACAGTCGCAACTAAATGTCACAGTGCATACGTTTTAAAGAGAGCATTCCGATCTCATCAGGCCAGGAGAAACGAGTTGCTTCTCCGAAACACTGAAAAAGATGGGGAGGAAATTGGAGTCCTGGAGCTTACATATCTTACATCCTCAGTTCAGCTTTCACGTACAGCCTCTCATGAACCCATTTTGATGGCAAATATATCCCGCGTGCCGCCTCGGCAGCCGGGCCGACCCATGCCCACGAGACGCGTGCATTGGCGGTCCAAGCAGCGCACCTCAGTCCGCATGGCCGGGCTGCAGATACGGAAAGCAACCGCAGGTCTCGCGGAGTAAATGAGCTTGGGGATGCTGGAGGACCCCCGAGGCCTTGCCTGCATTGATTTGCTGTAAAGGCTTGCTGTCAGTTCACGTGTGCATGCTTGTCGCCATATGAAGTTTGCCAGGGTGATGGGAGCTGTCTCGAAAGTTATTGGCAAAAACCAAAATGAAAATGCAGCAGTAGGCAGCAAACCCTAAACTCCACGAGATCATGTGAATCCCTCGAAGAGCTGGTGCTGAGTGACAAGCCGAAAGATGAATATGTGAGACCCGTAGTGAGCCGGAAACCCTACGCGTTAAATTGAATCCCAATAAGGACAGGTGGTGAGTGGCAAGCCCTCAGGCCCTCAGGGCCCTAATGAAAGAAGATAAGAGCCCCTCAAAAGGCGGCGAGTGGCAAATGCGCAAACCTAAGACACTAAGCAACACAGAACCTTCTCAGGATTCGGACCCTAAACGCAGGGAGTGCGGCGACAGCCTGGAATACAAAACTGGCGAGAGAGTTGCCCTCGGGAAGCCAAACCCGTGGAGATGACGCAGTCACTGACGCCTTTTGAGGGAAAGCGAGATAAACTCTGCACCCCAACCCAAAGTCCCAATCTCGGCTCCATGTTCCGAGAAAAGCGAGCTGGGCTGTTGCTCGCACATGTTACACCGCTGCATGCGGCGTTCACTGGCCACGGCACCATTTCCAGCAAGTTTGTAAGGAGTTCATCCTAGATCCTAGTGTAGAACGGTTGTCCCGTCAGTTGCGAAGACCGGCTCAGGGGGAACTCCGGGCCAAGCGTTTCTTTTCGCTTTAGTTTGTACCTGGCTCTGTCGGAACAGAAGCTTGTCGTGGCGCCTCTGAATCCATCGACAGAACACATCATAGCAATTTTGTGGCAATATTGGGATGTGCGCTACTGTGTTCAGAGTCGATGCCCAGGCTTGTTCGAAGTCCTTCAACCCTCGTTTTTCGATCATGGCTTTAACTAACCCTTCTTCTAGTCTCACGCCCTGCTCCACATTGTTTACTGTGTTCCCCAAGGATGCGAAGCTCCAACAAAACATAGTGCCCAGACTCTACATGATGGCCATCTCTTGAGCCATAGATTTGAGATGCTGCAAGCTTTGAGCCTCGCAGCAAGACAACCAAGACAACAGCCTCCACATCCCGGTCCACCAACAGGAAGAAGGAATCGAGACACGTATTTTGCAAGCTCTCTTGAGACTCGGACGCACGGCATTCACTGCTTCCAGTCCCTGTGGGCCATCCCAAAAATCGCCATCGAGTGAGCAGTCAAGAGTGATCGCAAGACAAAAAGGACAGCAAAGAAGCTTGCTTGACCCATCCATCTCCAGACCTTAAGTAGCCTCGGGTGATCTGACGTGCAAAGTTCCAGTGCGAGACTTGCCCCACCTTGGAGAGAAGGCCAACTTCCAACACCTTCAAGTTGCCATCAGTCCCGAGCGTGGCCCCCGATTCTCATACGAACACATTTCTTGGCAGATGTCAATCAACCAGAGTTCGCAACACGGCTTTCATCGATGAAGCCCAAGCCAGTTTCAGTTCCCCTTGGTCCAAATCCAAACCTAACGTTTTGATTGACATGCAACGGGGATCCGGGAGCCGATGCAGGAGGTCTGGATGAAGCGTCGGACTTGTAATGATTTCAATGTGGCCTTGCCAGTTTTCAAGTCTTTGGGGAATGTGGATGGTTCTCTGCTCCTGTCAGCACTCGTCAGGACTTAGCTGCTGAGGAAGCTGCTGTCATTCACAAACGGCCGCGTGGTGCTAACTTGAGGACCAGACCTAAGTTGAGTGCCAGACCATGTTTTTGAATCCGTTCAGAACACAGTGTTAGGCACTGCTTGGGCCCAAGCGTAGCCTTAGAGCAAGCCGTCCAAGAGTCATCGAGCAATGCACCGTCTCTAGCAAGCCTTACTATCATCAAGGAAGATGGCGGACCTCATCAAAGGTGAACGTGTCGAAGGCGCATAGATTATCTTGAGCATGGAGGTTGTCAGGTAAGGGCAGGTGAGAATGGTCCGAGTTTCGACAGTGGCAGGCATGTCACGGCATGGTCGGGCGGAGATTCGGATGCCCCGAGGTATTGTTTCTCGAGATTGCGAAGATTCTGTTCATGTGGACATTGGCACTGCTGCTGAGGGTATTCTGGAGAAATTCTGCTGCAAGAGGACGAGGATGTACAGAAACTTTTCTTCGGACATCTCGTCAAATCTGAGCATGGTCCAAGCCCGTTGAAGAAGGTGTCTTGGATCATCTTGGATCTAAGGAAAGGTGACTTTATCGGGGCGGCTGATCCGAACCGCCTGTACTGGCCTGGAATGCGCTTGAATGTCACGGTTTGGAGTGTCTCGCCCTGTCTTGTGCAGTGTAGCACAGCGGTGAACAAGGTGAGCTTGGTAAACAGATGACATGTAAAGCTGACCAGTTGCTGCACTGCATGCTTTGTTAAGTGTTGCAAATACTTCGCAATACGCTGCTCGTGTCGGCTGCTTGACTTGGAGTGTCAATTCTGGGGCATATATCGCAAGGAAGTCTTCAGGACAAAAGCACCACTCTATCATGTCAAGTCGTCAGCTGCTAAATATGTACCTTGAAGGCAAGGCGAACCACACTGTCTCCCTGCGATTGCACCGCTACGACAGCTGCAAGTGTCACACATGCTGCCAGCCCATGGAGGGATCTGTGACGCTGGACTGCAAGCAGAGGCAGCAGAGGTAGATTTTGGGAGAGAACATAGTGGCCTATAGCATCCTATAGCAATACTGACAGACTAGCTGCGCGGTTCTCTTCTGTCGTTCGGGTCCTGACACTCTTCAGCTGTATCACCTAACAAAGGTGTAGTGTCAACATGAAGTAGGATGTGTGTGTGTGTCTGCATGGGGCTCAGCCTTACAATGCCTTACAATGCATGTGCTGTAATTCTTGTCATCATTGGATGCTCAAGCAGTGGCTGCAATGTTATTGAGACGTGGAACGCACGGCAGTGGCGGGCTTCTGAAAGCCTTTAGTACCCAGTGCTCAGATGCGGGAGCTGAGGTTTGGCAGCGGAAGGCCTGTCGCTCAGATTTTTGATCCTGTATCTAGCTATGGGGACGTTGGATAATGTTGGGAAGATGTTTGGAATTGAAATCGGACCTGGACCTGGATTCCTGGATGGTCATGGCATGTCATGGGTCAGCGAATATTACAAAATCATGGGTCGCCACGGCTGCACTGTAAGTGCCGCTCGCCATGCTTGCATCTGCTCGCAGCCCAGGCATCACGAAAGCTGCGTTCAGTGCTGGAATGTTGGACGAGGTGCCTGCTTCGGTGCTCGGGGAAAGAAATGGATCTTCTGAGCAGCCTTGGCCCGAGGTGTGCCACCTCTCTTTGAAGTGAACGGTAAGCGCATGCACTGCGTGGTGGGGCCCGTGCCAAAGAGCGTGCACCAGACTCTTTGCGTTCAAACCTCTCTGTTTACAGTTTTCAGTGCCGTT